GGTGAAGTTACCGTATAGGTATCACCTTTTGTCCTTGTAATCACTGATATGCTAGAGCGGACGTCAGTATCGTCTCCATTCATCTCTTTAGCGAGCCACACTGGTCCAGCAGATCATCCTCGCTCGAGAGGCAAGAGCCTCAGCGTTCCTTTTGTTCAGAGCTATCGTGAAGAAGTCTGACCATCGCGTTGGCGGCCGTCCTGGTGTTCGTTTGACATCCCAAGGGATCCAGTCAGTAATCGTCCTGGTCCAACAGTCATCACCAATTCGCTTGACGTGTTTGGACCATCTGATATTCGATTTTTCGGAGTAGGCAACTCCTTCCGATCTCCTTCCGCGATGGATCCAAATCCTCCCCTTTGCGAATTCATAATCGGGAGATCTCCGAGCATAATCCTTCCCACAACACATCCAATGGTGCTGATTGCATGCTCATAATTGCAAAAATAAAATAATAAAAATCACAGAGGTTCAGGAGTCTAGGATGCCAAGCCAAGTAAGCTGAGCATGAGGATGTTTTCTGAACTATTAAGCTGCAAGTGGAAAAACTACTGCTGCTGTTGACCAACTTTTATTTCCGAAACTGTCAACGTATACTTTCAAGGCGTCAATGCGTAGTTTTCAAAAGCGATGAGATGACTAGTTCTCGACCCAGACCTTACATCGGACATCAGGTGTGGGGAACATTTTCTGTCCCATTTGACATCCGAAATCTGCTCCAAATTCAGGAATATCTTGCATCACTTGGTCGACACGACATGAAGCTGGTGAATGCGGATTCGTGAGTAGCTGGAAATGGGGAATAAAATCATTTTTATCGCATTGTTTTCAATAAAGCCATGGAAATATGTACCTGAGTGATGAGGCTGTCTTTTCCTTTGTTTTCACACCAGCTATAAGCGTAATACATCCAGAAAAGCTGCTTAGGAGTATACTGCTCCAGGCCGGGTAACCTAAACATTAGGCTTGGGATATGCCCAACCGCCCCGACTTCCATTAATGATCGTAACAGCATTCGAATGCTTATTTGATCCTTGCGATGGCTCACAGGGGTTAGTTGATGTAGGCCCAATGCTTCACTTGAATTGTACCAATCTATATATCTTACCTTTTCTCAACACTATCGCCCATAAATTTCAGATATGCCTGATACGCGGGCTGTAGTCCTGGAACATTTTCAACAATTTATATCGAGCTCTATTGGTATGTAAGAATGATGAAAAAGGGTTTTCGTCATTCTCACACCAAGTGGCTTTTCATTGATATGGAATTCCTTACACTTACCTCCTATGTCAGCAACGTTTTCGCCTTGAGTAGTTACTCCATTGGCACAATGTACATATCCTTCCTTCACTGGACAACATTGGCTACTGAATAAGGCTACCAATTAGATCGAAAGATTATATCATGAAACGTATTTGGAAGCTCTCCTTTACGGCATGTTTTATAATAGTAGTTTCAACCCCGCGTCTTCCTTTCCTTGCGGGTTTTC